GCGTGTATTTTGCAAAGCTGTTTAGGTAGGCTTGCTGAAGTATATCACATCGAAGTAGATGCTGAACGATACATAGGAGAGCTAGAGGAAACAGTGTGTGCAATGACCCCGTCATGGAAAGGAGCTTGGTATTTTTAAGAATCTGAAAGAGGGGCTTCTGGGTGGCGCAGTCGGTTAAGCGTCCGACTTCAGCCAGGTCACGATCTCGCGGTCCGTGAGTTCGAGCCCCGCGTCTGGCTCTGGGCTGATGGCTCAGAGCCTGGAGCCTGTTTCCGATGCTGTGTCTCCCTCTCTCTCTGCCCCTCCCCCGTTCATGCTCTGTTTCTCTCTGTCCCAAAAATAAATAAAAAACGTTGGAAAAAAAAAATTAAAAAAAAAAAAAAGAATCTGAAAGAAAGCTAATGTACTCTGAATGGAATAACAAGGGAAAGAGTGGCAGAAGACAAAGCTAATGAGATAGGCAATTCCTCACCACAAACATTTATTTATTACTCAGAAAGTATGATGCTATCTTTTGTATTATATGTATATTTTCACTTCTGACTTCTGAAATCCTCTCAATTGTGATCATTGTAACCTAATCTTTTAAATAACTGATTAATTGGTTTACTTTTACAAGTGAAATATTTAATATTATAGAATTCAGTAATTACTATGCGTTTGTTACAGATTTACTCATTCTTTTGTGTTTTACAAAAATATTTGAAAATACCAAATGTTTTGTTGGAATAACATTGAATTTATGAGATAGTTTTCCACTATTGAGGCTTCTCATTAGTATATATTCATTCATTTATTTAGGTCTACTTTTATATCATTTAATAAAGTTTTATAGTTTTCATTATGAATGTATTACATATTTTTTAATTCATTCCTATATAGCCTTGTATTTTGCTTCTAAAGTAAATGGAATTTTTTCTACTAGATTTTTAAATAATTTTTACTGCAATATAGGAATAGAGTGGTTTTTATATTTTGATTTTGTGTCCAGCAACCTAGTAAAGATCTCTAGGTAAATAATCAGATAATCTTTTAAAAATATAAACCAAAGAGGAAATGATGAAGGCAAAATCCCTAGGCATCCTTCTTTTTTTTTTAATATATAATCCTTAGAGAGTAAATTAAAGAATGGATAAATAAAGTTGGGAATATTAAGAGGTATAAAGATGGTAAGAAGGTTTATAAGGCCTAGTTTCAATTTAGCAAGACAGACTCCAAAGATGTTTTCTGAGAGTGACAGATCCTTGGAGAATTGTGTCCCCACAACCATATTCGTGGCCATGTTCCTTTATATCTTGTGAGCAGAGGCATTGACTGCCTTTGTGCCTTTCTTTTCAAGGATGTCAGTATAGTGAACAGACTTGGAAGATAGAGATAGTATCTCTGTTTACTGTCCAGTTTAGTAAACATTATGTCTTCCTATGAGACAGAGGTCAGGGAGGCTTACTGTCCCTTAGGAAAGAGTTGGGTCCCATAACATTGGCTCCCTCTTGTAACACAACCCATTGTTTATGCAGCATCTCTTGGCTCTTTGCACATTCTCCTATGGGAATTGTGGTTGGAGTACCAGTACAAATGATTTTAATCTGATGAATGCTATTGTTGTGAGTGATAAACTATGTTTTGTCTCTAGGAGTCTCCTGTCTTTTGCCAGCATCCATAAAATGTCAGGGTAAATGCTGACACCCTTCACAGTTCTTGACAGTTTTGGCAATGAGGAAGGGATGCTGACAGAGACATGGATGTTTGGAGGACGGAGGAGGAGAACATCAGAGCTGATTCATGGGATGACTAATGGATTGAGAGAAGTCCATTGGGATTGGTAGCAAACTTGCTGATCAAATTGTAAATCAGTGGAGCAATAAATATTCCTTTACTTTATTGACTGTTTAAAGTAGGAATTGGGGCAGTGTGAGAGGATAGTTGTAGGCTGAGAACCAGGGAATAAATTTTAAAACAGCTGCCTAAATGGTTGGTACCAACCCTCCTTTAGGCAAGGGGACTTCCTTGACAATCTTCTAGTCAGTCTCAGGTCTGTCAATTGTGGCAATTGGCACAACAAATTTGCATTTCCTTTCAGACAATAGTTTCAGAGATATGTACTTACACTGAGCATGAGAGGGAAATTCATCAGCCCTATGTACACAAATCAGGCAAATCATGAGAATGTTGGCTGGCTTTCTTGGGAAATGGGTAAAGTGGGTCATGCAATGCTGGTTACAGGAGAATGGCAATAGTTGAGTTGTTGTTTAGCTCAGATTCCTCTTATGGTCTGCCATGCCAACTTCAGATCATTTGGAGATGGAAGTAAGAGTTCTTGGAATTTTCTGCAGTAGATCTTGTCTGCTACAAGAGAGCTTTTTTTTTTTTTTTTTAAATTTTTTTTTTTTAACGTTTATTTATTTTGGGGACAGAGAGAGACAGAGCATGAACGGGTGAGGGGCAGAGAGAGAGGGAGACACAGAATCGGAAACAGGCTCCAGGCTCTGAGCCATCAGCCCAGAGCCTGACGCGGGGCTCGAACTCACGGACCGCGAGATCGTGACCTGGCTGAAGTCGGACGCTTAACCGACTGCGCCACCCAGGCGCCCCAAGAGAGCTTTGACCCTGTCATGAAGATTTCCCTAAAAGAGACAAATTCAAGGGGAAACCACAGATTAGGCACCAATTAATATTGGACTCCTACCGTACTGGATTGGGTTTATCATGCTGATATAAATGACCTGCTAAAGAATGAAACACTCACCAAAGAATTTTAGGTAAATTCTTGTAGTCAGCCTGCAGCCCTGGGAAAGTCCTGTAGCCCTTACATGGAAACTGGGCTAGAATTTAGGAGATGTTATCTTGATAAGAGGTCAGCAGATGTCTTTAATCTGAGGTTATCGTGTTGCTCTTCCACTCTGATCAGTTGATTCTAGATACGCCATTGTGGCCCTTGAAACTAAACTGTGTTATGTTTTCAGCTTTTTGAATCATTTGAAGTTAGATAACATGCTTTAGTTTATCCCCAAATTCACTCAAAAATCCAGTGGACCTTCCACAGTCCCTATTACCCACCGGCATCTGTTATTGTTAAATGTTGGAAGGACATCTTCAAAAATCAAAATGAAAAGACTTCTGACTCTGCCTTCCTCCTTTCCTCCTAGTCCACGTACTACATATTAGCGAAGGCAGTTTGGTCACTGAATGTGGCTCCCCCCAGAAAGGGATAATTTACTCTCAGCCACTTTGTGGATCGTGATCAGGAAGAAAGGGATTAATAACCTTGCTTTGACTATCCAAGATTCCACCAAGACCATTTCTGGATGTGATATATCATCCCTTTTCCCTTATAGCAACCTTAGTCCATCCTGATTGGTATACTCTCTGAGTGGTAGTCCAGCTAACAGGGGGCCTCGGGAATTTAGTACTTAATTCTGGTTTAGGCACTTAGATATTCTTGTCGGTTTGACACGGTCCTAAATAATAAGTATAATCACCACTTGGTTGAGTATACTGCTTGCCAAGTCTCCCTGCAGTGGCCCAAATGAATTCAAGTGGAAGGCATAAATTTTTATAAATTTTGTGAAAATTCCCTTTTCATTTTTACTTCTTACCCTTTCCAACAAAAGGTCTGGATGTGAGTAGGGTGGAAAGAAGGTGAAGGTATAGCTTCTGGAGATGAACACGTTTAATGGTACCGCGTGGAAGTGAATTTAATGATCTTCCAGAACTTCTCCTGGAGTATTCCTCATAAAGAAAGATACTTTCATGTGTCTCTCCCAATCTGTGACAAGATCCATAAATATAATTGACTGCTGTCCTGCCATTCTCTGCTAGGTGACTCTGCCCATTGTTTGTATTATCATTGCTTTTGAACTTAAGAAGTTTATCAGAAATGCAAGGATGTTCTCAGTGCCTTCATCTCCCACACAAAAATCCTAATAACACCTTTGGATGTCTTCCCTACCCCCTTTTCTGTAGCGGTCGCACAGTGGAATGAGTAAATGCCACTTCGTGGGTAGCATGGGCAAACAGATCAGATTGGACTAACTGTCCTCATGCAGTGCGTCTAGAAACAGGGTCTAGATCCAGTTATCTTAACCGAACTGGAAACTCTAAGGCCAACTAGCAGGACTGGAAGCCTTGTAGAAAACACCGTCAATCTACGTCTGCCAAATGGTGTAGGTCCCTTCTCCAGAGACCCTCAAATTGTGAACAACATGTTCTTTCCGGGAACACCATGTACACCTTTGAGACTGTGTGTCTTGTGTCCAAACCACACATTATTTTACTCCCGTACCAAGAACGTAGTGACTCGCATTGTAGTCATGGTTGAGAGATCTTTGAATGTTTAAGCAAACACCACCAGTAGATGATATCGCACTCAGATGATTTTGGATTTAGTTTCTGTTTAGATAGCATTCTGGAAATGGTAAAACCATAGCAGTGGAGACCAGATTAGTGGTTGTCAGGGTTCGGGAAGGGACAAAGGTGTGACTAAAAAAGAGCCTCACAGAGGAGTTCATGGTGAATTACATTCAGCATAGTTTTAGTATAAGTGAATTTTATCATAGCCTGTTCTAAATATTCCCATAAAGTATAGCATATATGATGAGAGAAAATGCATGTATGTGTGTGTGAGGGAAATATAGAAATAGTTTCTATGATTAATGCTGTAAACAATCCAAAAATAATCATAACATTTAATATTATTTTGAATATATATATATTGAATATATATTGAATATATATTGAATATATTGAATATATATATAATATTATTTTGAATATATATATATATATATATAATGTATCTACATTTTACATATTTTTGCTCCCAAATTATACTAGACTTCAGGTAATGCTAAATTTAGTTTTAATTTACCAAATCTACCATGGATGAGTGTTGCAGGGGGCGGGCAGGGAGGTGTGTCTGGAGTGGTGTTGGAGTTGGGTGACCAGGAAATTTTAAGCTTGAAGTCGTGGTAATGCATACTCACATCTCTGGTTTTCTCTAGACACGCCATCACAACGAGTACAGTTTATTCTTGGAACTGAGGATGATGATGAGGAACACATTCCTCATGACCTTTTCACAGAACTGGATGAGATTTGCTGGCGTGAAGGTGAGGATGCTGAATGGCGAGAAACAGCCAGGTGAGGATTTTTGCTGAGCGGGAAGGTATAGGAAATAATTTTTATGCTATTGGAAAAGAGATTTGTAAAGCCACGGTTTTGCAAACATTCGTGAGTGCTGTCGATTTCTGAAATGGCTCATCTGGCCTGGGCATATCCTATAATGGGATATGGGTCAGAATGAGATCTGAAGACAGCAATTATAGTAAACAGTGATGCAGAGCCAGCAACAGCTGCAGCCTGAAAGATAAACAGCAGCATAATTTGTGTGTCATCAGGAAAACAATAAGAATCTAAAAGTAATTTATTTCTATCTTTTCAACTGCTGGCCTGTGCCCAAACTAGGCATATTATATGATAATTTGAGTGTGGGGCTTTTTTTTTTTTTTTTTTTTTTTTTTTTTTTTTTTTTTTTTTTTTTTTTTAAAGAAAGGGAAAGCATTCTAAGAGGCTGTAGGTATACTGGATTTATGTACTATTTGGTGAGGATAAAAATATTTTGTAATGTGTTTCTAGGATATGTGTACATTTCAACATAGGTGTTTTTTCAAAATAACTTTTTACAATTTTATTTGAAAAGTGTATTTATTTATTTGGAGAGAGAGAGAGAGAGAGCGAGCGAGCGCATGAACAGGGGAGGGGCAGAGAGAGAGGAAGAGAAAGAATCCCAAGCAGGCTCCACACTGTCAGTGCAGAGCCTGATGCTGGGCTCCAACTCACTAATCTTGAGATCATGTTCTGAGTGGAAACCAAGTGTTGGACGCTTAACCATCAAAGCCACCCAGGCACCCCTAAGTAAGGTGAATTTCTAGCAGTGGAACTTATGTACCAAGAACAGCAGGCTTTTAAATTTTGATAGAGATTGTAAAATTGACTTTATAAAATGTTTTGGTAATTCATACTTTTATGAACGGTGTATGAGAGTGCTTATTTCCCTCAAACCCTTGCTGGAGTAAATCATTAAGCTTTTAGATTTTTTTTTTTTTGCTAATTTTATAGACAAAAAAATAAATCTTATTTTAATTTACATTTTTAAAATTATTGGTGAAATGGAACATCTTTGCATATGTTTTAATTTTTTTCCTGTGAGCTAACTGTTCATATTTTATGTCAAACCATTGTATTATTTATTTGCCTTTTTTAATGTTTAGTGGTATGTTATTCTGTATGAATTACCTTTTTTAACGAAAAAAATCATGTAATCATTTTCTTTCTGAAGCTTTATTATATATTTTAAATATAGGACTAAATTTGAAGTAGTTTTTATATGACATGGTAAATTTTAAGATTAAAAACCATCCATCTTATTGTTTTCTTCCAACTGCATCAAAAACTAAGTGCTTTGGACTTTTTCAAATATATAATATGAATGCTCATCTTTGTTATTTGGTGACAGAAAAACAATATAAGATAATCTTATGCACCAATTAGCATTATAAATTTTACTCTCTCATGACTAAAGAGTTGTTGAAAAGGAATTTAAAATGCGGAGGTGCCTGGGTGGCTCAGTCATCTGACTGTGGCTCAGGTCATAATCTCACAGTTCGTGTGTTCGAGCCCCACATCGGGCTCTGTGCTGACAGCCCAGAGCCTGGAGCCTGCTTCAGATTCTGTGTCTCCCTCTCTCTCTGTCCCTCCCCTGCTCACACTCTAGTCTCTCTCTAAAAAGTAAATAAACGTTAAAATATATAAAATAAAATGCAAACCTCCCTGTTTAAGCTAGACACATCTGTCTTGACCTGGTTATAAGAAATGATAGCTATTCCTGGATGGCAGGAAGAAGGGTGATCTGTTGGGTATGATGACTAGGAAGCTGTTGTTAGTTTGAGTCTCTTTATTGCTGGGAAGTACTTTTTGGAAGCATTTCTTTTATATTCTTTTCTTTACTCTCATCCTACATGATAGAGCTGAGAAGTAAGATTGGAATGTGTGTTTTGTCAGGAGTAACTCGCTTATTCTTAAAATGATTGGTGATTTTTCACCTTCCAGATAAAATAGTGATCTGTTCCTTTTACTCTCGTGGATAAACCTGAACAACATGTTTATCCTAAACCACCAAAATGTATTGTTGTTCATGGATAAAGAACAAAAGAGTTGATCCAGTTAATTATTAGTATTCTCTAATGTTATTCAATAGGATCTGTGTTCTTAGCTATCCTTCTAGAACCTTACGTATGGTGCAGCTATTTGAGGTTCAAGGAGACATCTGATGAGCAATCAAAATAGCAACAGACATTGAAGAGGAGGGTAGATGAATTTTGGCGGAGACACAATACATCAGGGAAGTACAGAGTGTATTTATTGAGGGCTTAGAAATGTAGTGGGTTTTAAAGTAACAGAAGTAATTTTGTTCTGGTTGCCCTAGTTCATCTAAAAGGACTAATTTTAGTTAATTTAGGATTCCATCTAATTTTGAAAATGCAATTTAATTCTAATAAGTCATTAGCATAAATATTTGAAGCCCTTCTTTCTTTTGATTAGTATTCTGGGGGGATTAATAATTTTCTACCCTAATAGTAGAAATAAAAAGGACATTTTATCAGCACATTGCACCTGTCACATATCACATCTTGAATAATTCATGCCCACTGCTGTTGCCAAGTAAAACTTAAGCAAAGTTTTAGATTTTGAAGCTAAATTTTTGAATCATAATTATTTAATAAATGTTTGTAAAAACAGCTGTTCACTTTTAAAAACCCTAAAAGAAGCCATATGACAAGGGCTAATGAAATCAGCACAATTCCAATGTCCTGCTTATAGGTAACATATAATGTTATTAATAGAAAAGCCCGCAAAGATACCACAGATGTGCAATTATGAAGACAACATGCTTGACTCACTGTAGTTGCCCTTTAAAAATGCTTCCCACAAATGTGCTCAGAAGAGGCAAAGCAGGGGGTAGCAGTTGGCCTCTGATACAGACATGGCAGTGTCAAAACGGATTATTTCATCAAAACAATTTTACTGATGCTCTGAAAGCATTTGATATTCAAAATTAGTAAAGGTTTAAGTCATCAAGATTTTTCCATGAGTTATGAGATGTGAAGATAATATGGATTAAGAATAGCTAATATTGGGGCGCCTGGGTGGCTCAGTCGGTTAAGCGTCCGACTTCGGCTCAGGTTACGATCTCGCGGTCCCTGAGTTCAAGTCCCGTGTCGGGCTCTGTGCTGACTGCTCAGAGCCTGGAGCCTGTTTCAGATTCTGTGTCTCCCTCTCTCTCTGACCCTCCCCCGTTCATGCTCTGTCCCTGTCTCAAAAATAAATAAACGTTAAAAAAATTAAAAAAAAAAAAAAGAATAGCTAATATTTCTAGGTTTGGATATCTTTCACTTCCCCTTTCCCCTTAAAATAGGCACTTTATGGTTGTTGTTATGTTAATATCTAGCCTCCACCCTAACCTTGTCCCTCTTCCACCATCTGTAGCCTTAGCCCTACCCAAAAGAGGATGTTTTCTCTTAAGAGTTCGTAACTTCTCCCCAGGCTACAATTTTGGTTGGTATTTTATTTTCCATTTGCATAGAATCAGAGAATAAAAATTCTTAGGAAAGTTAAAAGGAATTAGCGGGAATAGAATAAATGGGAGTTAATTTCTAAGGAGAACATCTATTTCTAATTTGCAGAAGAATTTTGTTTTGTAGATTTTTAATATGAGTGTTACAGAAGAGATTATCATCAACTTAATCTTCAAAGAATTCATGAAACACCTATTTTATATTGTTGTTTAGTAGAAAGAGATTCCAATGTGTTAATCATGGATGAGAACAGATCCAGACACACCGTAGGAAAATCACATAATCTCAAAGGGTTTAAGTCCACCCCCTCCACAGAAAATGTCATGCAATTGGCCTACAATTTTGATTTTTTTTCATTGTTCATTACATCTCATTCATGCCTGTGAGACTCTTGTTTGCTGTAGTTTGCTATTCAAACAAATGTCAGCTGAGTTTATTTGAAAACTGGAATAAATTGCAGCACTTTAGGTCATTAACTGCAATCAGGCATTTTGCAACTGACTACAAATCTACAAATCTTTAAACAGGATTTGGTGTGTTCCCAGACCTCTTAATTCCTATCTTTGAAATATGAAATGGAATAAAGAAACAGAAAAGAGAAATACACTTAGGGGTGTGTGTGTGTGTGTGTGTGTGTGTGTGTGTGTGTATAGAGAATATATGTATATAATATAAAATATAATTTTTAACATAGTCTTTTAAAAAACATTATTTAAATAGTTCTTAAAGCTTTTGACATCATTCTGGAGTTGGCCTAAAGCACTGAATCTTGAAATGTTTAGAAACTCGACACTTGTCACTTGTGAGTTTCTTTTATGGGAAGTATCTTATGCTTCTTCCTATTTTATATTCATAAAATCTATGGCCATATCAAATTGTCCATCCATTTATTTTTTTTTTCTTAACTACCAAACTGGAATTCCCAGAGACTCCATTCTTCTTTTCTAAAAGACCAAGCCTCCAGTTTGAAGGAAATTATTCTTAAAGAAGGAATATACCTTTTAGATAGATTTGTTTTTAAAATTTCTTTTCAGATAGACACATAGATCAATGGAACACATAAATCTAAATGTAAAACATAAAGCTATACAAATTTGAGAGAAAAAATATAGGAGAATAGAGGACTGAGAAAGACCAAACCATGTATAGCTACCTGGATTCTGACAAAGGGCAAAAGCTATTAAATGGAAAAAGGATGGTCTTTTCAACAGCGTACTTGAATAATTAGACAGCTATAGGTTAAAAATTAATAATATTTCAATCTAAACCTCAGAGTGTATACAAACTTAATTCAAAATAAATCATAAATCTAAATGTGAAACATAAAGCTATACAAATGTGAGAAAAAAACAGGAGAAAAACCTGAGGACTTAGGGCGTCTATGATGAATTTCTAGACATGATATTGAAAGCACAATCTATAAAAGAAAATATTCATAAATTGGACTTCACCCAAATTAATACATTTTGTCCTATGAAAGATCCTGGTAAGGGGATGAAGACAAGCTGCACGTAAGGAGAAAATATTTGCAAACCATATATTTGACAAAAATATTATATGTAGAATATGTAAAGAACTCCCAAATTTCAATAGTATGAACACAAATCAATTAGAAGAATGGGCAAAAAATATAGTCTGGAAGTGATGCACATAATTTCTGCTTACAATTCATTATCCAGAGGTAGTCAGTAGTCATATCATCTCACCCAGTAAAAGGGGAGCCAGGTGGTGATATCCTATTCTTTACTAGGTAGAGAGGGAGAATTAGTTGATGAACAGTACTAATAACTATCAAATGATTTATGAAATATTATGTCCCCATCAAGGCCTGAAAATCAATAAACCAATAATATGAAAAATTCCCAGCGGTGTAGACAAAAAAATTCTATAAAATTCCAGCATTGAAGAAATACAGTCAGTGACTTGTGGCTTAAATGTAAATTTTTGCAACCTTCAAATATCTTATAAACTTATGGTAGGTATTAGGTATTCCCTGTCTATAAACTTTTGGTAGGCACAACTATTCTTCCCTATTGGTTTCATTTTCATTTCCTGACAATGTTTTACTCCCTGAACAGTGAGGACAGATCAATAGCTTTCTTTATCTTTCTTAGAACTCTGCACATTAATCATTCTGACTAGCCCTTGTGGTTGGTTATTTTCTGGCTGATCCACTGATTCCCTAACTAGTTACTGCAACATATTTCTCCTCCCCTGGAGCTGGATCATTTGACTACATAAAACAATAATACAATATTTTATAGAGAATTTGAGTGATATTGCACAGAAAGAGGAAGTTAGGGCAAAAATGACTAAGGAGAGAAGAAATAAGGAAAATGGTGAAGAGAAGGGGAGGAAAGGCAATTTAGGCTTTATTTAGGACATATTACAAATGGTGGAATTAAGTTGGTCATCTATTAGGATTAGACAACAAGTCCCTAAAAGAATGAGAGAAATTTAGTGCTTGTGCCATAGCAGTAGAATCTCTGGTTTCTCTTTATTTCTTCCATTTTTTCTCTTCATTCCTTCCACTTATCTTACTTGAAGAAACTTAAATATTACAATTCATTTCACTCCAAAAAGGCAGCGGTCTCCCGTTTGTCGCCTTGATGTCCAGGTTCCTCTGTTCTCCATCCCGGGAAGGAAGGCCCAGGGATTAGAGACTGAGCTCAGTGCTTACAGGTTCCTGTAGTCCCCAGGAAATGACTGTACTACATTTCATCCAAGCATGCCTAATATTTATTTTTCTTACAGAAGAGGGCCCAAGTTATACTAGTCTCCCTAAAAATCGAATGGAAAAATTATCAGGAGATCAAATATTCTATTTTAAGACCTCCTACTACAGAAAAATGAGTATTCTTTCATTTTCTTTTGCATCTGTTTCAATTGCCGTTATCCTTCTATGAAGTATACTCTATTAATTTTACAGCAGATTCACAGTGACCACTGAATAAACACAGTAAATATTTTTTCAGAACTTGACAAACTAACAAAAATAACATTTGAGTTTTTCTTGGCTTTCTATACATCTTTCAGTGACAAAAAGAATGCTTGTTAAGTGGAATTAAAATGAAATAAACCAAATAACTTGGGCTAGGTTTTACTTCCCAAGCCCACAAAATCTAGAAGCAATGTGACTGTTTTTCTGTTTCTGCTTTTTATTCTTGGGATAAAGGATCATTCATCTACAATATGATATTCAATGTGCTGATAATATTTATTTGTGTAGGTGGCTGAAGTTTGAAGAAGATGTGGAAGACGGAGGAGAAAGATGGAGCAAGCCTTATGTGGCCACTCTGTCGTTGCACAGCTTGTTTGAGCTGAGAAGTTGTATTCTGAATGGAACTGTGTTACTGGACATGCATGCCAACACTTTAGAAGAAATTGCAGGTATATCTTTTTTTTTCCCTTAGTTTGTTTCACTCTTATGGGTACAGCTGAGGTTTGTTATTTTCTTTTCCTTAGAACTCTGTGACTCTTGGAAGATCAGTTCTTATGGTCAGCAGATGATACCTTAAAAATGACTTTCTCCTACCCCCTTGTTTTAGATAAAAGAAGTTGAAATTTGGAGAAATATGGTCTAATTTGTTAATGGCAAGTCTAGAACAAAGAACTAATCCTGACTCCCATTTAGGATATACTGTTTCCACTATCATGCTTAACTAAGCTGTCACCATTAGAAATTTGAAGGAAAAAAACCCCATAAAACTAGAAAATGATTTTTTCAATATTCAAATACCTGAAATAATCATATTAAAAATTCAGTAGATACAAAAATTGTTAATTTAGAATAGAACAGAAAGGTATGACCATTTATTTTAAACTTAAAACTCATTAATTCCAGAGGATGGCAAGCAATGCATTTGAAATTAGTTTGTAATTTAATACTATGACTAGCCCCTGGGATGAGAGATTTGTATTAGAAGCCTATTATGGCTATAGAACACAGGCAGTTATATGTAGGAAACATCTTACTGTTACTCTAGAAATAGGAACAAAGAACTCCTGTATCTTTTGATAAAAGATATTAAACATGACAAACATGATAAATGTGTTTTCATAAAAGCAAAATAATACAAAACGTTTTGAAAGAGTATAAATAAAATAGTTAATGGAGATTTTAAAAATAAAAACAAAGCAAGGACTTGGGCAGTTTTAAAAAATTTCTAGTTTGGAAAAAATAAATAAAAGCAGTTCCATGTAGAATTTTTTTTGCAAAGTAGAAAGACTTAAGGGAAACTTTAATGTCTGCATTATATTACAGAGGAGGAAAAAACACCCCAAAACTCTGTAAATGTTTTTTGATTCCATAAGTGAGAGAATATTATATTAAAAAATTCTGTACATAATTTAATCTTCAGAATAGCCTCATGAAGTGTCATTCCCAATTTTCAGTAAGAAAATAGAAATTCTGAGATTTTCATGGTGCTTGTTCCATCTAAGGGCCCCTGTAAGTTGTGTGTTCCTTATATTATACTACAACCACTGGCTGAAGAAAGAGAATGACTTGAAGTAGATGTTGCCCAGATTTTAATGATTGTTTAATTACTTTAAAAATTATTTATTTGGACATTGATGCAGATAGGCATGCATACATTGTGATATGTGTGAAAAGAAGGATATCCTGGCTTAGGATAAAAAAGGTTAGAGAGGGAGGGAGCCAAAACGTAAGAGACTCTTAAAAACTGAGAACAAACTGAGGGTTGATGGGAAGGTTGGGGGGGTGGGTGATGGGTATTGAGAAGGGCACCTGTTGGAATGAGCACTGGGTGTTGTATGGAAACCAATTTGACAATAAATTTCATATTAAAAAAAAAGCAAACAGGAAAGAGAAGCCTTCCTTCTGAGTTTCATACTACACCTATGAAGAGCTTTCCCTTTATTTTTAAAAACTTTTTTTAATGTTCATTTACTTTTGAGAGAGAGAATGGGGGAGGGGCAGATAGAGAGAAGGAGATGCAGAATTTGAAGGAGGCTCCAGGCTCTGAGCTATCAGCACAGAGCCCTGCTCGGCTCAAACTCACAACCGTGAGATCATGACCTGAGCTGAAGTCAGATGCTTAACCGACGGAGCCACCCAGGCGCCCCAAAGAGCTTTTCCTTTAAAAGAATGAACCAAAGGGGCTCCTGGATGGCTCCGTTGGTTAAGCATCAGACTTCAAGTCAGGTCATGATCTCACAGTTTGTGAGTTTAAACCCCGAGTCAGGTTCTGAGCTGTCAACGCTGCTGGAGCCTGCTTCAGATTTTGTGTCTCTATAACTGCCCCTCCTCCACTCATGCCTGCTCTCTCTCAAAAATAAACAAACATTAAAAAATAAATAAAATACCTAACTAGAAAAAATAAATAAAATAAAATAAAATAAAAAAAAAATAAAATAAATAACTAGAGCCAAATAGGCTATATGAAGATAAATACAGTATACTTTTCAGAGGAACACAGGATGCAGTAATGGATCACTCTAAATCAAGACTTAAAGAAAAGGGTTAACTTAGGAATTAGCAAACTTCTTGTGAATGCTGGAACAGTAGTTATCCAACTTAATTTCTTAGCTTTACATTATGGGGTCCTGCCGATAGCCCCTAAACATTTTTATGTTTTAATTAGGAACCAAATGGCTGGGTTCTTCATGGTACTTTGCAATTTAGGAAGCTCTTTTAAGTAATTCTGTACTATCTTTTTGATACTCAAAACAAAATTGGGCCTCAGTATTATTATTGTTATCATTTCTTTATAAATAAACTGAGATTCTGAAAGTTAAAGATCTTGTCCAAAATAAGGAGTTTGTTCCTGCTGTTTATGTCAGTGATGACATTACCTTTGAAAAATGGAGTAATCCAAAATACTTTTGGATTGGCTATATCTAATGAGGCTGTCAAATTCCTCAACCTGGCAAAATTAACCTCAGAAAATACCCTTCAGAGTTTTACCAGGTTTTAAATTTCTTAAAGCATATAATTTCTAATGCTTTCTTTAGAAATTTATTTCTACCAGGAAATCTCCCATGAATTTGACTAAACCTCTGTTCATTTCATCACCTTAGTTCCGTTTTATTGTCTAAATTTATGCTTCCTTTCCCTACCACTGCTCCTTTCCCCAAGCTGTGGGAAGGTTGTTAGCTGTGTTAATTCTCGCTCTTGAAAGCAAATTACATTTTCTAAGTCTATCCTTACAAAGGAAAGTAGTTCAATGGAAGACTTGATACCCCAAATAGCTTTTATTCTTCTTGTTTAATTAGTCTGTATCTTTCTGTCTCTAAAGTAGCTCATCTTGAATGTCCCATTTACAGTGTAGAGCACTCTGTAAAATACCATCCAGAAGATGTCATTAGTTTAGAGCTAATACCACATTACAAACATATAATTAAAAATACTTGTTGATCACTATTACCTTAGATTCCTTTTCACTCATTATTGAGAAGAGATTCCCTCTTTTTGAGTAATTGTAATTTGACTTCTTTAATCCAAAGGTATTTATTTCTGCCTTCAATAAATCTTATTAGAACATTTTCTCCCTTTAGCATATAATGATTTTCTTACTGTTTACTTATTGCTATTTTTACTTTGTGGCAATTGAGCCCTATTGCTAAGCGTAATAAGTATGCTTCATATTTTTAAGACTTCTAACTTTATATTTTCACATTATATTTTATTATCATGGTAACCTTTATGAGATAGGGAGGAGGATATATGCCCTATTTTATAAACAGATAAACAGAAAATGATGTATCATAGGTAATACCTGCAGACATGGGAATAATTTCTTTTATTAACCTATAATCATAAGTTTGGTTTTATTCTATTTCATGATAATTTGTGAACTTAGTGGTTAATAATAAGACTGGAACTTATTTTCACCTCTTATTTGTCATGTTTTCCTATATGTTAAGCACTTACTAACATATGAATCACTAGTTTCAATTTTCCAAAAGCTGGATATAATATGTATCTTTAAGGGCTCTAAACTCTTCCATTTTGTGAATGTGCAGGCTTTGCAGCATTAATATTTTCTAGACATTTTCTAATAGAGAAATATGACCCAGATATTGTTTTAGAATAATCAAGGATTTTTATATCAATGTTCTGATTTAATAGAGTCTTAGATAATTCTTTAAAGAGATTTTTGTAGTCTTAACAGGAGGAAATCCCATTTGTATCTGGCAGGTCTGTCAAGAATGTCTAGTATAATTAAAGTAGGATTTTCTTTTGGACAAAGTTAATTTAAAAATGTCTATTTCCCAATGTTTCAGGAAACTCAGAATAAACTTAAATGTCTTCCTTCAAAATCTTATTTAACCTTTTCAAATCCTAAATTCTCCATATGTAATTTCTTACCATGATTTATTCTGATATGGAGATTAATTGTATTTAAAATGCTTCTTAATTATATTCATATAAATTACACGTGATTTTATGGGCTGTGTTAATCTCTTTGAAATTCAGCCCCGTAAAGATTAATAATGGAAGTATTCTGTCTGCGTGTGTATGCTTTAACCTAATTCTGTCAATGGGAGTAAGAAATGAAAACCAAATTAAAGTTAGTACCATGATCAGACTATCAGTCATAGCTCCCAACTCATTAAAAAAAACTTTTGTTGTTAAAAATAGACTATTGGAGGAAAAATCAATATTTTGCTCCACTGAATGTAATCTGCAGATTTGGGAGTATGGAAATAGCCACATTTTAAAATATGTCTATACTATTACCATCCTTGATCTGGAAAGTAAGTGTTCTTAGGGTAGTTTACATTTTTAGTGTACACACTCCTGTGAATGGGGTCAAGCAAACTGTTGAATTTAGATTCTTTCTATTTCTCACTCCTACCCCTCACATCTTTTGAAGTTGTAAAACAATGGGCTTTTAATGTATATGACTATCTTTTAAGAGGCAGAGATTTATATAGAATTGGTAACATCTCATGATCTCTGGAGGTTTTCATTCACTGGTCAAGATGGATTGATCACAATAAAATAATTGCCCAGTTAAAATGAAACTTAATTTTCATTTTCTGAGGCTTTTTCCACAAAGAGTACTAGTGTTCCTAGAGCCTGCTTGGTGCTAGAAGCATGTGACTTATTTATCCTTTTCGTTCTTGCTTCCTCCGATATCACCCAGATCTTGGCATTGTGCTTTGGCAGGCTAGACTGTATTATTTAGACATCATAGCCTGCTGAGATTGTACGACTTGATGCTGGGCCCAAAGCCATTATGGCTCATTATCCTTTCCTACTTTTCAAGGTTAACACTAATGTATGTTATAGTGGTGAAGAGAACAATGAAAGTGATTAGTGAATCAGATTCCCATTGGTACTTAAATCTCACCTCAGTATAAGTTATGTTCTTAAGCAAGATGATTAACTTTTCTAGTTCATTAGGATCTATTTGATGCAG